AAAACCATATGCCTGGTGTTTTTTCCCCTTTTCGCCCCAAACTCAGTCTTTGTGATACTGCCAGAAGCAGTTCTTATCAAACTGCAGACACAGTCCATCCTCACATTAGGCACCTTGTTCTGCATCACCATGATGCTCCATTTCAGTCCTCCATCTGAGAAGGTTTGGTGAGCAGCTTCTGTCTCTCACAGCATCCACATCACCTTCAGCATCCTCACTGCAGCCCTCCTCCCAAACTTAAACATTGCTTTTAGGAGACAAATGTGCACAGTATTTACACGTACTAACTCTAAATACGCTTATATTGTACAAAGTAACTTACTTCTTACACTGTTATAAAAATAAACATACAAACAACTATTCAAATATTCATAAAAGAAAATATAAAGGTAAAAACTGGCTTCATTCACACGAATGATGCGCTTAGAAACTCGGTCAAACAAACGTTACCTTTCTTCAAAAGAAGCCGATTCCTCACCGTCGTCTTAGGTCTCAAAATCATGCTGGAACCTCCGTGGTGGTTCGATGACTCTTGAAGAACATCTTCAAGACATTATTGTAACAAAATATTTCCTCTCCRCTCCAAAAAAAACACGCTGTCTCTCGTAACTTTCTGCTTCACTCTGCATCGAGCGTCTTTGGAGGAGGGTAAACAAAGAGGTTGCTTCCCAGGCTTACTGCAGCTGCTCACGTGATATTACCATAAAACCCCATACATCAAGCCAAAATCCCAGATTCTTGGCTTTCAGGAACCGTTGGAATTCTTCAGATTGAACAAACGTTCGAGAACTTAGTGTTTTAAAAAAAATGATGATAAAATGTGTCGGTGCCGACACGCTCGGTGTAAGAGGGTTAATGTCCTTTTATTTTTTTTTTATTTGTTCGTCCAGGAACAACATCAACTTCCTGATGGGCTCATGGTGGCCCAACCTGGAGGACCTGTATGAGGCCGACGTGCCCGTTTACCGCTTCATCCAACGTCCGGGTGATCTGGTGTGGCTCAACACGGGAACCATCCACTGGGTTCAGGCCATCGGCTGGTGCAACAACATCGCCTGGAACGTTGGCCCTCTCACCGGTACGCAGGGAACCCTGGGCTGAGTTCACAGACACTCRTGCAGAAACTCACCACTTTGTTTTGTTCTGTTTGGTTTTTTCCCCAGCCCACCAGTACAAGCTGGCCGTGGAGCGTTACGAGTGGAACAAGCTCCAGAGCGTCAAGTCCGTGGTTCCCATGGTGCACCTCTCCTGGAACATGGCGCGCAACATTAAAGTGTCCGACCACAAGCTGTTCGAGATGATCAAGTGAGGCTTGTTAGCGTCCAGCTGTGAGCAGAAAGCGGTTTTGAGYGCGGGCGCTGACGGGAGCGTTGTGTTTCTGCAGGTACTGCTTGCTGCGGACCTTGAAGCAGTGCCAGTGGGTGAAGGAAGCCCTGGTGTCGGCCGGCAAGGAGACGGTCCTGAGGCCGAGGAGCAGGGACGAGCCGGCCCACTACTGCACCATCTGTGAGGTGGGTCAGCTCCCCGGGAAYGCCTGTTCTGTCATTTAAACCCAACTAATGAGAGTTTAGAGAAAACGCTGAGTGCAGCTGAAACAGAAGCTAAAACTAGACTGAAGTTGATTTCCAACAGAACGGTGGTTTTGATGGAGCTGAGAAGATCTGAATGCATTTTTACGAGGCAGAAAATTATAAATGAAGTTCAAGTTCACGTTTATTTACATAGCGCCAGGTCACAACATACGTTGTCTCAGGGCACTGTACATAAAAAAAGCTAAAGCTAAATCTTTAAAAAAGTATAAAAGTTTCACAAAGTCACAGCGTTCATCTCCTGAATGAGCTGAACACTTGGATTAATAAAAAGCAAAAGTTTGCAGCAGTTGGGTCGCAAAAACAAAACGTATGGGACAATATTATGAATCAGCACTGCAGGAAACAATCATATTTTCTCCATGAAAACATTTTTACATTTAGAACAACAGCAGAAAACTGAAAAGAAGGATTAAAGAAAAAACATAAAATCTATTGGCATTGCAGTGCCTGTGAGGTATCCACCTTATTTTTCATGGATGCAGGCTATTGTTGTTGTTTTGTGGGAGACTTCCAGTCACTGCTCGCTAACTAACTTTTCATTGTTTTTTTGTTATTGTGTTACAGTTCTTGATGTCACAGTTGTATAGAAAATATGGACAGATGATGGTGACAACTATAAAAGTTTTTAAAGTCTTATTTAAACRTTAACAATATCCGTTACGTTTGTTCAATCCCAAAGGTTTAGCACTGCTTTCTTTAATAAATAAACCTAACAGGCAGTGGTATAATCACAATGAGGCAAATGCTAGTATGATATGGCTCTGAACAGACAACTTATTAGTAAGTGAGTAAGTAAAGTTTTATTTATAAAGCACCTTTCACAGAAATATATTCACAAGGTGCTGTACAATCATTAACAATGTAAAAATGGTGGAGAGATAAAATGAAACATAGAGAATGAGGGAGAGAAAAATATGCCTGATGTTCAATAATAGAAAAACACGTAGTTGGCGAGCATTCACTATGGAGGTAGGCCTGCAGTAATGGTGAAATGGTTAGCTAAACGCTTGAGAGAAAAAGTGGGTTTTTAGGASTGTCTTGAAAAAGACAATGTTATCAAAGGAGCGCAGATTAAAAGGGAGTTCATTCCAGAGCCTGGGGGCCACAGAGGAGAAGGCACGGTCACCACGGGTCTTGAAGCGAGTGAGGAGAACCATAAGGAGATGTTGATCCTGTGAGCGGAGGTCCCGTCTTCCTCCGTATCTCGGGAATTCACAGACRACACTTTGCCATTATTGTCCCAGACATTTCACAGCAAAATGAAATTTTAGATTTTTACATGAAGCAGCCAGTGACCGCCGGCTGAAGCAACCCGTCAAAATAAAAGYCGTAACGTAACTGTTTGGTGCAATGACTTCTGCTTTAGTMGTTTAGTCATGTTGATTTAATTTGTCCTCTACTTGGACCATTGTTCACGTAYATTGTGATGAGGCTCAAAGGAGAAATCCTGCTGCTCCGCCGCCTTTTACCTTTCAGCAGAGGACAGTGATGGATGTTGGCACAGTCAGAATATTAAAAGCCTCATGAAGTCAAATATTACAAAAACTAGTCAACATTTTTCCCATAATGATCCTTTCCTGCAGTAAATGGGTAAAGTAGAGGAACCCYGACTGTAAAACCAACACGCTGCACTTTCCCAGTGAGGTTGGATTGACTGCATTAGAAGCCGACGTAGTTTCTGTTTGATCTAATTAATGGGTGCACTAATGGGTTTAATTCATGTGAAGCTGTTTATATAGACACGAGTCGTTACATCGCTGCTGTCGTTTGTTGATGCTGTGCAAACGACATCCCTTTTTTTCCTCGACTTGTTGAGTGTTTAATTTTTCTGCTGGCAGGTGGAGGTGTTCAACCTGCTGTTCGTGCGGCGGGAGCACCTGTCCAAGAAGCAGTGCGCCGTCCACTGTCAGGACTGCGCCAGGAAAGGCAGCGCCACGCTGGACGACTTTGTGGTCCTGGAGCAGTACCGGATGGAGGACCTGATGCAGGTCTACGACCAGTTCACATTAGTAAGTGTCTTACCCGTTGAGTAAAACAGGACTTRAATCGGCCCGTGTTTAATAGTGGTGTTGTATCTTCTGCCCCGCCCCCTCCCAGGCCCCGCCTCTTCACTCATCTTCATCTTGACATTAGGCGTTTCCTGTTATCGTCTGCTCCGGAGCCATGAAGCCCATCTACTTGGATTCAGATTGGAAATAAAAAAAAAAAAACTTCACACCTCCACACAAACACACACGGACCGTTTCTGATATACAGGAAAGCCAAGGCCGTCTCTTCTTCTCCTCCTCCTCCTCGTCACAATCTCCCCTCCATTATGGCTGGTCTCCATAGCGACAGCTGGAGGCTGAGTGTCTGTCTATGCAACCCATTTGAAGCACCCGGGGCCTTCCAGAAGAGGGCGCCACTTGGCTCGATATCGGGACTTTTTTTCTCTCTCCTCCCCCCTCCCTCTATTAGAGACGATGGTTCCACCCTGTTTTAATGGAGGACTTAATCAAAAAGGGGTTTGGTGTTGGGGGGAGGGGGGTAAAGGGTGATTAAAATAGTTTTGTAGATACTTGTTAATCGTTGCGAAATGGCAACGCCACCCTTAAAAAGACTACTGACTCTGCTCCCTTTTCTCCTTTTTTTTATTTGTTTTCTTTTATTATTCTGGGAACAGGATGAAATCTTGATTTGTGGAACTCCTCCGGATTTAGTTTTTATTTTCTGTTTTCGTCCCTGTAAGGAGCACTAGCCTAACCGGTCCTTTTTTCTACAGTAGATAGTCATTTTTTAAGACTCTTTGGACAGCAAAAACCTTAAAAAAAAATTAAAAATTAAAAAAATAAAAATTTGTAATGTGAAAAGGTTAGGTTTTCTTTCTTTTCTGTTTTAACAGCTTTTTATGTTTGATCTTTTTGTCATGTTTGCAAAACTGTATTTGTTTTTTCTTAGGTTAACAAAAAAAAGGAGAAAAAAAACTTCCTAGCAAATTTACAAAGAAAATGGGTTGCACATAGACTTACGGTTTAATTTGTGATTTTATTTTTTTGTTTGTTTTTTTATGTTTCTAATCTTGATGTAAATTTACACTATTTATAAATACATATTTATTGCTTGGAAAATATTTGTCGATGGAATGCTGTTATTTTTTTCCAGAGTACCTGCCATTAAATTTGAAGGGGTTTTGTCATTTTAACACGACCCCTCTTACATTTTCTATATATATATATATATATATATATATAAATAAATAAAATTGCTTAACAAGCATTGTACAGAAACAGACATTTAAAAATTGTTTTATTGTTTGAAGAATGGTTTATGAGGTAATAAACACAAAGTTGTCAAATTATCCATGTTTTTTTTTTCCACTCTTTTGAACATACAGGAAATCACTTTAAATGCAACGTAAGTGAAATTCGACTTGATCAGAGATCTTCGACCTTTATACAAAAAACAAACAAACAAAAATAAACATTTCTGCAACTGGGCTCATCCCAATCCCAGTTTTGTATCCCAAGCCACAAAACTGATGATCAGCTGGTGGCTTGTTTGTCAAAGGGACGTGTTACCAGTCATTGAGCATGGTAGTATAAAACATAAAATACATAAGTAATTTAAATGTTTATGTTTACACTTGAGAACAAAAGAAAACACCATAATCGTGTAAGCAAACAAATTTAATAAAAACTGCAAAAATATGCTTATTTTCTAATTCATACAGTTTTCAAGTCAACTCATTTCTTGTCAGCAACTTGATTTAAAAAGTACTCCAAAATAACCTTGACTGGTTTYGGTGAAAGATCATCCTGTCGGGCTGAAAGCTGGATTATTGAAGTGGCTAACAAACTACTAGCACGTGCTAATCTGCATGTATCTCCCTTGTATTAATATCAATCACATGTGTRCAAACAAATTGACAGGAAAACTGCTAAAGCTAACATTTTCTGATTTGGTTGTTAAAACAAATAGTAACGTCATGTTAGTTTTGGCTTCAAATACGCCCTGGTGTAGATATTAAAGAAAGGCCTGAAACCCAGCAGACAATGTAGCTGTAGACTGACACACAGAATCCTACACTGTATGCCAGGTCCAGGACTCCTCTGGGTTCTTGTGTCACCTTCATTGAAGAGTTATCCTCTTGCCTTCAGAGGAGTTCTTGTGAACAGAGTGGTGTTTAAATGGTGTTCATCTTCAGAGTATGGTGATAAATATGGGTATCAGCGGAGACCCAGTAGCCAGATGTAGCTGCTGCCAGCCCCACAGGATCTACACTGACTACTGAGCAAACACTGAGAACCCGGGAGCCTCAGCTCGGCCAGTAACGAGCGGCGTGCACAATCCGAATCATACCGAAAGAAAACCCACAATATTTCAGAATTTGACACCCAAACACATTTTTTCCCACCCGCACCTTCACCCATAAACATCCAGCCAATTTCCTCTGTTAGCAGCATGTGTGAAAAAAGTTCTTCAGTGGAGTCAATTTTCTATTTCAGACTGTGCTGCAGCTCTGCAGGATCTTATTAAACCTTTATCACATGTCCTGCAGCATCCCAGGTGAGGATACAGCTCTGAAGTTACCAGAATGAGCTTTGTGTTGTTTGTGTTTTTTTTTATTTTAAGTATATTTTCTAAAACGAGAGGCCATTTTAAGTGTGTTCAGTTACTTCAACTTGAGTTTTTTTTAGGTGTTTGATAGGACAAAAAAAGTGTGTGATGATGGCTCTGTACAAGTCAGGAACAAGGTCATAAATGTGGCTGGGTCAAAAAAGTTGTTTTTTTTAAAGGAGCTTAATTAATCAAAATATATTGATTAAAATCTATACTACCTTCATGGATTTATGGTAAATAATGTCCTCAAAGTATTTATAAGGACAATCATGGAGTAGGTTCTCAGTTATTTGTGGTATTTCTAATAGTTTAGTTGAATGAAATTGATTTTTCCCCCTTGTTTTTTTTTATTTTTATAACGGTTGAMCTTAAATGCTCCAAGCCGATTCTGAGCTGAGAGTTACAGATTTATACGTTTTGGTGGGACAGTTATAAGATTGTTAAAGCTAGGGGTTACTGTCCAATAAATAACCCAGTACAAAGTTTGGGGAAAACCCAACTTCCTTGTGTGGCTTGCCACCCCCTCTTTTTCCCATCCTGCCACATCCTCTGTTCCTCCTCTGTATGCTCTTTTACAAGCCCCGCCCCTTCATCAGTGGGCGGGACTTTCAAAGCCTTTCCACAAGAACTAAAGAAGGCTAGTTAGCTAACTGTAAACATTGCAAAAATAGCTCAAACTTTAACTTTGCTGAGGTGAGTACTTAWGTTTGACTTTTTATAATTTTTAAAATTTTGTGAGTTTAATAAATAAAGCAGTGTTGCTCCTCTAAAAATTGAAACGTCTTCTGGTTCTTGAGGGGATTAGTGTGCGAATGTTAGCTTTAGTGTTAGCCTCACAGAGCTGCTAGCATTGCTTTGTCCATGTACAGCACACAGTTCTGATAACTATAAAGGCTATTTACACATGAAGCCCACATAGGAAACCAGTTAATTTAGACTCCTCATCTTCTATTACACCTTTAGGCGTTGCAGTGTTGAAAATGTCCGACCGGGCTCGGCTAGCGGTCTTTTTTGACTGTTCCAGGTGGACGCAGGAGGACTTCTTCAGAGTTATCCTGGAGACTTCATCTTCTTTTCAGAGCTCGACATCTACCCTGAAAAAAAGAACATAAAGGTAAGATTTTTAATTGAAAAACCATCCAAAAAAGACAAATAAAGATGTATACATTTTTGCTGATTTTTTTTATCAAAGATTTTTTTTTTTTTTTTGACTCAACGCCAACAAGCGCTTTCACTTTGCTGGAAACACAAGGGAACCAAATCAAGTGTGGGCTGAGAAATGGTGCTTCTAGGAAACTAGATGGCAGTTTTTTGATGCGAACACCAGTTAAGAAGACGTAGGCTTCCTGTCGGTTGTCTGTAACAACAAAGGCAGGAAGCTTGAGTTGTGTGATACAGTGACAACATGTTATATGGGAGGGGAGGAAAGGGGGCAGCTGGAGGGTTGGATATGTAATTATTTGGAACATGTGTGAGTTTTTTCTTCTTCCAGCTTTGCTTTTTGTTCACCTTTCTGAAGTTTTACCAAACGTGCAAAAGTCTTTTTTTTTTTTTTGTTCGGGTTTTCTTCTTTCCATTTACTCCACCTATGGGCTCTGTGAAATCTTGGCAGTGCTCCAGCAGAGTGGTATGTGAACTCCACTTGGCCTGGACCACCAACCCCCCGCCTGCCATCCTCAAATCCCCACCGCCTAACAATGTCTCCCTGTGTCGCGGTGAGGAGGGGTGTTAAAAAAAAGGAGAGAAAAAGCACGGAAGGAGGAGTTAAACCAGCAGATTGATCAATGCTCTCCATCCCGTTTACCCCCACCCCTTTTTTTTTTCTTTCCCCTTCCTCACTGCTCCCTCTATCCCTACTCTGCACGCTCTGATGTTTCCGCCTTTTTGTGAGGAGCACACAGGTGGCCCTGACTGCTAATTTTAACCACGTTGATTGTCTGCCTGTGTTTCCCACAGCTATGTATAGATGGCTGCAATAAACCAAGTAGGTCAGTGTGGAAGTCACACACACACACACACACACACACACACACACACACACACA